AAAAAAAGCCAGAAGTGGCGCTATGGCTCAAGTGGTAGAGTGCTAGCCTTGAGCTGAAGAGCTGAGGAACAGTGCCCAGGCCCAGAGTTCAGGCCCCATGACCAGACCCAAAAAAATAACAACAAAAAATTTCACCTAAAGGCAAGAATATTTTATAGGAATACATTAAAAAGAAACAGAAGATAGAGACAATGTTCCAAAAATGAGGGTTTTTTTTTGGGGGGGGGTGTTGTTGTTTGTTGGTTGGTTGGTTGGTGGAGGGAGGCAAAGGGACAGCCCCTTAGTCTTCTCAGATTCTCATATACTCTTCGATAAATGCTGGATCCCATGTCTATCCCCCCCGCACCTCCCCAGGGATGATTCCCAACTTTAAAGGATATGAAAGTGAAGACTGCCCAGGCTTCATTTCCTGTATTCACAGAAAATATCTCCCACAAGAGGGGTCTTCCCTCCTTAAATATCTCCCTCCTCTCTTAACCCATGGCCAAGGCTAAGATGGAGGAATGCAACCTACATCTGAGAAATTGTCCCTGAATTCTTCCTCCAAGCAAACTTCCCTCCCTCCCAGGCAAGAGTAGAGGCCCCATACTTACTGGGGAAGAGCCAATCACTTAGACCAGGCCCCTGGACCTGTGCAAAGAGGATGAGTAGCACAAAGATGCTCAGGATTCCAGATGATTCCATTCTAAAGAGTGTCCGAACTGGTTTGTGATTCCAAAATGTCTGACTGCCTGTTCCTCTAGTATCTGGCTCCCTTGGATATGAGAACTGGACAAAAGCCAGCCACCTCCTTTCATGCTGGGAACACCAAGTTCTTGAGGTCATAAATAGGACTGCTGATATCTACAGCCCACAGCTCTGGTGGGCTGGGTGTCTTATTGGAGATCTGCACTGCATTGGTCTGGACCCTCTGGTCAACCAGGAGAAGTGAGTAAGCCTGCCTCACATTATCTAGCATGTTCCCTTGCAGATCTTCATCTTGATAATCTGAGGAGATGTGAAATGTCTTTCACACACAATGAGCGCCTTCGCTTCTATTTGTCTCTAACAAAGTCTCCATTGAACTCTTAGCTGTTTCTTTGTGCCTCTTTGTGCTTAGCTTTCTCTCCCTCTTATCACTAGCTTTCTCTCCCTTTCTTTTTTTTCTCTGGGTCTCCTGTTATCTCTGTGTTCCTTTCTCTCTCTCTCTCCCATGGTTTCTTCCCAACATTCAACCTTGTGTCTTCCCTGAGGATCACTCATTCTTTGACTCAGGCCAAATCATAAGGATGTTGTCACAGAGCAGAGTGTTGGAGAAGAATTGGACTAATAACAGAGTTTTCTGAGAGTGTTTGTCACAGTGGTGTTTGTTTGAAAGCAGGACAGAATGTTGGAGTTTACAGGGAGCCTCTACTCCTTTCTTTGAGGAGAAAATAGGAAGGTAAAAAACACACACAAAAAAAACATCTGCCCGAGTGACAAATGATCCAAGTAAAGTAACTGAAGATTCTAACTGTTGGAGTCTAACGAAGCTACTGGAAAGAGGGTTCTGGAGAATTTGACCTGTAAGGTTACAAATCCGCAACCTTAAACACTTAATCCATACATATAAGAAGGAGAGACACTCTTCAAAAAGCAAATGTATACTCCTGTAGACTCCTCCCCCTTTTCTTGTCTAAATAGGTATTACCCCATTGTGATCACTGATTCTCTCCAAATTCTCTCACGTGATAGAAATGAGATGAATTCAGTCTTAACCTTTTGTGAGCAACTACATGGTCACAAAATTTAAGATCACAGACAAAGCCTTCTCAGGAATCTTATCCCATCAATTTCACACTCTCATTGAAGAAAGAGACTAGGGTATAGAATGTGAACCAATGTCTCATTCTACTTCTATATTCTTCCAGACTCCACAGTAGACAGTGAAAATCTGGAATGTCCAGGTGGCAGGAGCCACTGACTAGAAGAATGAATTATGCAATAATCAATGCCATGGCTTTGCCTGTTTATTTGCTTGGTGTTGATGACTGCACCCAGAGCCTGGCACATACTCTGAATGTCTCAGACCTTGTTGTCTTTACTTGCGTTCTTATTCCAGAGTTTCTACATAATAGAAGATGGTTTTTAAAAGGTCACTGAGGGAGAAAAAAGAAGAGTAGGGTTTAGCATAATTTTCAGATTCGATGGGTATTTTTAAAATAATAGGCTGGGCACTATGGCTCATGTCTATAATCCCAGCTACTTGGGAGGCAGACTTTGGGATGAACACAGTTCAAGAACAGCCTAGACAAAAAGTTAGAGAGATCCCCTTCTCAACCAATAAACGAAGAATGGTAGTGCACATAAGTTGTTCCAGACATACAGGAAGTGCAAACAGGGGGATCGTGATCCTTGCCAGCTCCAGGCAAAAACAAGAGACCTCCTTCTGAAAACTCCATGTGTGTGGTAGGATGAAACACCGAGCATACCATCATCTGAAGTTTGCTGAGGCATTCATAAATCTCCCTTGTCAGTCTAATGAGCAGATCCCAAGCAACCAATTTATCTGAGCATCAGAAGGGGTCTTCTTTGAGTGGATCACATCTTTAGTTAAGAAGTCTTTCACCTCTGTGGTCTTTGCTATAAGAATTCCTTTTATTCTTCAATTTTATATTAGTAATATTCTCCCTCATTGACAGAGTTTCTCCCTTCACCAATCCTTTCCTACCTCCCTCCATAACAAATTCCTGGTTCTTTTTATTTACAAGTCATGAATGTAATCAGTCATAGGTTGCAAATGTTAACCTTCAGGTCAAAATCTTTGTCTCTGGCAGTTCAAGATAAATGGATGTTGTAGTCCATCTGAATCTTCTGCATTCTTATTCTCATAACTTCTGGGGTTTCTTCAGAATGTGGTCTACATTATTGTACTCTGTGTAAGATGAAGAATAGTCTATTAAAATTACATTGTCAACATACAAGAGTTCTTGATGACTGCTGTTATCCTTCCAAATAAATCAATTGCTTGGGTAACAGATGTCAAAATCAGAATCAAACTGCTAATAGCCCTGGTAGTATACATTTTTGAAAAGCAATAGTTTCAAAGCTGGATACCAGTGGCTTCCAACTTAGGCTGAGATCTGAGAACTGTGCTTTGAAGCTATCCCAGGCAGGAAAGTCTGTGAGGCTCTTATCTCCAATTCACTTCCAAGAAGATAGAAGTGTAGCTGCAGTTCAAGTGGTAGAGTGCCAGCCTTGAGTGGAACAAAAAGCTCAGGGGACAGTATCCGGGCCCTAATTCAAGCCCTATGTTCAAGTACCAGCAGGCACACAAAAAAAGCAAGAGTTTTTAATTATGCTGCTCATAATTAATTATTTTGATGCTGCTATTTCCCACTTACCATTCAGTTTTTAGGCTCAAAGCACTTGAGGCCACAACGCGAGCAGCATTTCTCCTCGAGTGGACAGTCGCTGTCCTGCAGGCACTTAGGTTTATCAATCTTGTTACACTCCGCCGGCTTACGTGGGCAAAAACCTGGTTTGACTTGATGGGATACAATAAGACGCATTTGACACAAATTTGGAGGATATAGTTAACAACAGAAGAGGTCTTGTCCTTTGGAATGATGCAGTCTCAAAAGAGTCCCCACTTGCCCCCAAAGAGATAGTGGATACAGACAGCATCTAGAACTTCCTTGTCTCATAAACTGTTGAAATGGAGGAGCCCCCTGGAGGTAGGGCCATTGCCCAAAGCCACACAGAAGCGTACAAGTTGAAGCCAGTTGATAACTTCTGCCTCTCTCCTCCATGCTATGCTGTGCCTCAAAGCAGTAACAATCCCCTGCACCACACACAGAAGTTTGTAGCTTCTGCTTTAGAAACAGAAAGAGTTGACACCCAGCTCAAAAGTATGTACTATGGGCCCTTTCCCTAGCGCACCTTACAGAACAGAAATTATTAGGAATATACCTAATGGTAAAATGGGTGTGGGGGTAGGGGTGGGGGTGTATCAGTGGACATTGCCACTGACTTGAGTTCAAGCCCCAATACTTGCACACATGCACACATACATATATACATATATATCTATATGAATTTTATGTAGCCATCAGAAAGAATGAACTAATAGTATTTGCAAGGAAATGAATGGATCTGGAAAATATAATACTGAGTAAAGTCAGCCAGGTCCAAAAAAAAATACATATCTTCCTTCATACGTGGATTTTGGACCCAAAATATAACCTCCCACGTAAATACACTGAGGGACAGATGCACACACACACAATTTATGCTAACTATAGTCTGGGCAGGAGTGGTACCATAGATTAAACCTTTGAACACCTAATGAACAGTTTAACAAAATGAATATCAAGAAGTTGAAGCAAGTTTGAATAGAGAGGGCTCTTAGAGGGGAACAGATGAATGTAAAAGGGACAAGGAACAAATACAGTTCAAATATTCAATGTACACATGCAATAAACAAAGTCGGAACTGTGAAGTGAGTCTGTGGGAATGGGGGAGGGCAGATGGGATGGGGGAGGATAATAGGAGTGTCTCTGACTGAGAAGCAGTGCACACATAAATGAACAGCTTAAATTATAACACCCTTTTACAACTATTTGAAGTTCCCAAGTTGTGTCAACAGTCAGTTTAAGAGACATCTGACACTATCTAACCAGATGTGGTTGCTCACACCTATAATCCCACCACTTGGGAAACTGAAGCAAGAAGATCATAAATTCCAGGCCAGACTGGGCTACATATAGAGACCCTGTCTTTAAAAACAGACATTCTCAGGGCTGGGAATGTGGCTTAGTGGCAGAGTGCATGCCTAGCATGCATGAAGCCCTGGGTTCGATTCCTCAGTACCACCTACAGAAAAGGCCTGAAGTGGGGCTGTGGCTCAAGTTGGTAGCATGCTAGCCTTGAGCAAAAGAAGCTCAGGGACAGTGCCCAGGCCCGGAGTTCAAGCTCCAGGATTGGCAAACAATAACAACACCACCACCCAGGGCCCCCCGCCCCACATTCCATGGGCTGTCATGGCATTCTTGGCACACACCCAGTGGGTGTTGGAGTCATACTCATAGTCCTTACCATTCCAGATCTTGGCACAAACAAAACCACACTTGGAGTCACAACACTTCTCCTTCTCAAGGCAGTCCAAGTCATTCTTACATGGGAGTGGACACTCCATTCGCGAGTTGTGAGGGAAGATCGGGCAGTGTCCTTTCTTGACTAAAATGAGAGCAGACGTGAACTCCTGCAACCCCCACTTCATCCCTCCATGCTTGAAACTACTTTTACTTCCTGTTCAAAGCTAACTTTTCTCTTCCTTTTTTCTTTCTTTCTTCCTTCCTTTCTTTATTCTTTTCTTTCTCCCTTCTTTCTTCCTTTCTTTCTTCCTTTCTTTCAGTCTAACTTTCTTTCTTTCTTGTGTGCTAGTCCTGGCACTTGAACTCAGGGCCTGGGCACTATCCCTAAGCTTTTCTACTCAAGGCTAACATTCTACCACTTGAGTCACAGCTTCACTTCCAGCTTTTTTTGTGTGATTTGGAGATACGAGTCTTGACAATGCTAGATAGGAAATGTCCTTACTCATGATCTTACTCATGTAATTATAACCCCTCTGTACAGTATCTTTACAATAAAGAATATATACAAAAAAATTTTTTTTTAAAAAGAGTCTCTTGAACTTTCCTACCTGAGATGGTTCTGAACCTCCATCCTCAGATCTCAGCCTCTTGGGAAGCTAGGATTACAGGCATGAGCCACTGGCACCCAGCCAAGGCTAATCTTTGTGAATGCAGCATCCCCTTTGTCCACTTCCTAGGGGGCTATGGAGGAACAAGGCAGCTCACCACATCCTGAAATATTGCTGCTGACGCCTCAGCACAGAATCCCAGTCCTTCCTGTCACTTGCTAAGTGATTTCATGTTCACTACCACAAAGGAATGGTTAGTCCCTACGGAAGTTTCCCACAAACCAGCTCAAACTCGTCTCCATGGCCTCTTATTCCTGCTGGCCCTTAGAAAGAAGGACTGACGTCTGGGCCACAGGATCATGATCCTCTAGAGCCCCCCACACATAGAAGCTTCTAGTAGCACTAGCTTCATCCAGTTGGTGCCATTCAGAGCAATTTATGGGATTAAAATTCTAGTTCTATCCCTGACCTGCTACGAGTCCTGGGGCAAGGAAGTTTACCTGTCTGACTCTGTTTCCTTATTTGAACCTGGCACTGGTGGCACATGCCTGTCATCCTAGCTACTCAGGAGGTTGAGATCTGAGGATCGCAGTTCAAAGCCAGCCTAGGTAGGTAAGTCCATGAGACTCTTATCTCCAATTAACCATCAAAAATCCAGGAGAAATGGGGCTAACATTCAAGTGGTAGAGCACTAGTCTTGATCAAAAAACTTAAATCCAACTTTAGGATTTGTTTTTGTTGTTTTGTTTTGTTTGAGATAAGGTGTCCCTGTGTAGCGCACCCTGGCCCTCCACTTGTGATCCTCCCACCCCAGCCTCTTGCAGTGCTTTATCTTTTTATGCCTACTGTGGTTTTACTTCTTCTTTTCCATTCTCTCTGATATACCTGGAGTCTGTATCAGAGACACCATAGGTGAGTGAGAATACATTGAAATGTTGTGCAGATGAATGAAGAGCGAAGAATGGCTGAATCTGGTCATACTAGCCAATGTACCCAGGTGAATGGAACCAGGTATCTTGAAGGGTACAGTGCTGCATTTTCAAGGTCCCTGTTCACCATTATTACCACGGTTACCATTTAGTGAGCCCACACCCTGGGCAGCCACCCTGTCAAGCCTTGGTGTCTCTGATCACGTAGAATCCTGTCAATTCAGCAAGATGGTTCCCATGATCCCAACATTACAGAGGAGGGAATGAGATGAAGAAACACAGTAAGCTGGGGCTGGGAAGGTGGCTCAGTGGTAGAGCACTTGCCTTGCATGCTCAAGGCCCTGGGTTCGATTCCTTAGCACCACATAAGCAAAAAGAAAAAAGCCGGAAGTGGCACTGTGGCTCAAGTGGTAGAGCGCTAGCCTTGAGCTGAAGAGCTGAGGGACAGCGTCTAGGCCCAGAGTTCAGGCCCCATGACCGGACCCCCCCAAAAACAAACAAACAAAAAGACTTCCAAGCCTTTAGGCAAGTGCTGGTGGCTCACGCCTATAATCTTAGCTACTCAGGAATCCAAGATCTGAAGATCTTGGTTAGAACCAAGGCAAAGCAGGAAAGTCCCTATGACTCTTACCTCCAATAAGACACAGAAACAAAAGCTGAAAGTGGCTCAGGTGGTAGAGTTCTATCCTGGAGCAAAGAGAAGCTCAGGGACAGAGCTCAGGCTCTGAGTTCAAGCCCCAAGACTGGCACCCAAAAGAAAAAAAAAAAAAAGGTTTCCGGATTCTTAGTCTTTGTCATAATTCACAATGCCATTGGCCAAGTCACAGAAAGAGCCACAGTCAAGAAAAGAAAAATAAGACATAGGTTCTAGTCTTATCTATTCAGGGAACACTTCTGAATTTCATTGGTTTTGTTTGTTTTGTTCTTGAGACAGCGTCTCACCAAGTAGTCAAAGCTAGCCTGGGATTTACTATGTCAAGCAAGCTGTCCTCAGACTCATGATCTTTCTGCCCCAGCCTCCCCAGTGCTGGGACTGCATGTGTATGCCATGGGTCTGATGTTATAAGCATCACTTGCTTTCTTACAAAGGGTATTATGAAGAGCATGGCAAAGTACTTTGGGGTTTATCTTTCTTCTCTGAGACTGAGTTTTGAGAGAACCAGACCTGTCAACAACTGTATCCACAGTGCTTAACAAAGTAGTTGGCACAATGACAGCAAAGACACAACCTCTCCTGTCCAAAAGCTGACCTGACATAGCCGAGGTCTACTGTTTGCCTGTTGGACATAAAAGTTCTCATAGGACACCAGCATTGTTCAAGGCCACTCTAATGCTGTAATAAAGTGAGACAAAAATTAACCCTGAAACAATAAAATAGCAAACACCTCCTTCTACCGGCTAACACAAGTGACTTTCACTTTATTAACAATTACAGCTCTAGCCTCATTCTAGCTGCTCTTCCTACAGAGAAGATTCAACTATTGAGCCAAAGAATTGCCCCATTGGGGCTGGGACTGTGGCTCAGTGATAGAGTTCTTGCCTAGCCTGCGTGAAGCCCTGGGTATGATTCTTCATTACCACATAAACAGAAGAAGCTGGAAGTGGCACTGTGGCTCAAGTGGTAGAGTGTTAGCCTTGAGAAAAAGAAACTCACAGATAGTGGGGTTCAAGTCCCAGGACTGGTCAAAAAAAAAAAAGTGCTCCATTTTCTGAAAATGCCTAATCCAAGGCAACCCCCCCATTTCTGTGGATCCCCTCCAAATTATCCAACCCAAGCCCAAATGCTACAATAAATTCCTACAGCAAGACCTCACAGTGGCCTACAGTGGAGCCTTGCACTGTAATGGGTTAAATTCAACGTGTCCACCTAAAAATGTGTTCCTCGTAGACTTTGCCCAAAGGTCACTGACAATAGATATTTGTAGAAGAAATAACTGAATAAATGAATCACTACGGAAGGCACAGTTTCCTATATATAATAGATGCTAAATACTAAGCAAGGGGGAAAAAAACTCCTTAAAGATCAAAGAGTAAAAAAATGATCCAACATCTCAGCTGACTGAGTTTGATTTTTTTTTAACCACAGTGCTAATGATAGTCTCCCGATGTGTTGTCATGAACATACAAAAGGTATTAGTTGGGGGCTGGGAAGATGGCTCAGTATTAGAGCGCTTGCCTTGCATGCCTGAGGCCCTGGGTTCGATTCCTTAGCACCACATAAGCAAAAAGAAAAAAGCCAGAAGTGGCGCTGTGGCTCAAGTGGTAGAGTGCTAGCCTTGAGCTGCAGAGCTGAGGGACAGCATCTGGGCCCAGAGTTCAGGCCCCATGACTGGACAAAAACAAAAACAAAAACAGGGCTGGGAAGGTGGCTCAGTGGTAGAGCGTTTGCCTTGCATGCCTGAGGCCCTGGGTTCGATTCCTCAGCACCACATAAGCAAAAAAAAAGCCGGAAGTGACGCTGTGGCTCAAGTGGTAGAGCCCTAGCCTTGAGCTGAAGAGCTGAGGGACAGCGCCCAGGCCCAGAGTTCAGACCCCACAACCAGACCCAAAAACAAAAAAAAGATATTAGTTATTTGTGAATGAATGAATGTTGGACTAAAGAAGACCAACATCTGGTTGATTTTGCACCGGGTCATGACTCAGGATTTATACTTGAGGGTGGAGAATTAAATCAGAGAATGAGAAAAGCATGAAATCTGGCCTGTTTGTCCTGCTTTCCCTGGTTCTGGGTGGGTCGGTTGTGGATAAAGAAGTGGAAAGCCCCCAGAGCAACATCGCCTTCAGCCCAGATGATATTACCCACAAACGGATCCATGCACTTTTTCCCACAGGCAAAAGGGCAGCACTTCAGGAAGGCTTTGCAGTTGTAATCTGTCTTGCACAGATCCACAATTTTCGTTCTACACTGGAACCTCTCTTTGGGGCACTTTCCTGCTTTCTCTGCAAGAAAGAAATGTTTGGACAAACACATACCTTGAGAACTTTGACTTTTCTCCCATGGCAAAGGCGAATAGATCACATCTCTCAACCCCATCATCCTGTACCTTCAATTCTCAGTTCTTATTCTGCAATATATTTAGGGGCCAAATCTGTTCCTTAACACTCTTGGCCTATCTAGATAGATCTGAACCAAGAAATCTGTGCTCAGATAGGACTAAAGGGAAAGTATCTTGGGTTTAATGTAGTGGTATACTCTTATAAATGTAAGATTTAGAAGGCTGAGGCAAGAGGGTTGCAAGTTCAAGGTCTACCTGGGCAATATAGTAAAACCCTGTCTTAAAAACAAAACCCTTACCTTTGTGCCACTGCTGTATTCTAATGAAAAAGATAAGTCAACAACCTCTTGTCCCAAACAAAACTAAACAGAAATGTACCTTAGACTCCAAGGCATGAAATAAGGTAGAGAACAAGACCCTGCCTTAAGTTGAGGAGTTCTTTTCTTGAAAGCTAGTATTTTATTTTATATTATTTTTTATTTTGCCAGTCCTGGGGCTTGAACTCAGGGCCTGAGTGCTGTCCATGAGCCTCTTTGTGCTCAAGACTAGTGCTCTACCACTTGAGTCACAGAGCCACTTCTGGTTTTTTCTGAGTAGTTTATCTGAGTTAAGAATCTCATGGAGTCTGTAATCCTAGCTACTCAGGAAGCTGAGATCTGAGAATAGCAGTTCAAAACCAGCCCGGGGAAAGAAATTCTGTGAGACTCTTATCTCCAATTAACCACCAGAAAACCAGAAGTGGCACTGTGGCTCAAGTAGTAAAGCACTCGCCTTGAGCTGTAGAGCTGAGGGACAATGCCCAGGCCCAGAGTTCAAACCCCAAAAACCAACCAAAAGAGAAGAAGAAGACGAAGATGGAGATGGAGACAGAGACGAAGAAGATCATCTCATGGACTTTCCTGCCTGGGCTGGCTTCAAAGCACGATCCTCAGATCTCAGCCTCCTGAAAAATCTAGGATTACAATAGGTGTGAGCCACCAGTGACCAGCAAAAAGCTAGTATTTTTAATCCTTAACTTCTCTGCCTCTAGCTACTTTGTCCAAAGGGGACTAAGAAGTAGTGGAAACATCATGGAAACAGAAATCAAGACTCAACATTGGTCCTTAACTTCTTTGTGATTGCAGTCTGAGTTTAACTGTGCAACTTTTGAGTTGCCTCTAAGAGTGGAGGAAATGGTGGGGTAGAATCATATTTGCCAGACAGATCTGACTTAGCAGCCTTGCTCCAATATTAACCAGGTAGATAATCATGGGAACATATCTTCCTTCAACTGTGTTATAATTCTCTGTTCTTTGAAAAGAGAATAGTTCAGAAGAATGAATTGGATGCTATGACAAAGACAGTCTTAATTAGAACCCTCCTTGTAGCCTGGCCACGTGGTCATAGCCACTTACCTTATGTAGAGTCTTTTCCCTGGTACACATACCCAGAGGGATTCCTGGGGACACTTTCAGAGTTCTGGTCTCTCCCAGCATTACTGAGCATACAGGGAGATCTCATCTAGTCCCACAATCCCAGCTCTGACTCCCACATTTTCTTCCAAACCTACCCTCTATTCCAAGCTAAAAAAAATAATCCTTATTTCCAACTGCCTGAGAAACAAAAAAAAAAATTCAGGTATCTCATTATCCCTGTTTAAAACAGAACTGTGTCACTCCTGGCCTAAATCAGACCTGCTTATACTCTGTTCCCAATCTTCACCTTTGGCACCAACGTTTTCAGTGTTGTTATGTTTTCAGTGTTGTTAAAATCCAGAGATTCATTCCCTTTTCTTCATGAACCCCAGCATGCTGTCCATTAAGGATTTTGATCAATTCTATCTCCTAAATCTCTCCCCAAATCCATCTTCTCTCCCTCTTTACTGTTACTTTATAGCGCCTGACCTCACCCCATCTCTCCTCTCAACTATTATATATGGTTCTCACACATCTTGTCTCTCAGGCTCATTCCCAGTGACTTATCAATATTAAAACAATAAACCGGGAAACTGATAAGTAGTTGGGAGGGACAAACAAGGGGGAAATGGTGAACAAGGGTAGTTTTCTGTGTCTTTGAATCCAGCCAGCAGCAGAGGCCTCAAACAGCACCAGCCCCTGCCTCGTGTCTACGTCTCTGTTCTCAAGACAGCCTCCCAAAACAGAAAGGCCAGAGCCTTTTGGAACCCACGTTGGATTTTGTTGCTCTGTGATGCTGATGCCTGCTCCAAAGAGAGGGAGAAAAGCAGCAGGAGAGCTCTGTTCCTCCAGGAAAAGGCGGAGCTGTGGAGAGGGAGAGAACAAGATGGGGCAGGGCAACACACAATCCAGAGAAGGAATATAGCATGTGCAGAAGAGCCTTCCAGATTTGTAGGCACATTCTAGTTACCACAAATGAGGAAAACCATGCAACCTGTGTTACTTTAGCTCTGGATTACTTTGCTTCCTATAATTTTCTCCAAGTCTTTCTACTTCCTTACGAATGGTGCAATATCATTCTTTCTGATGGATAAGTAGAATTCCATTGTGTCTATATAACTACATTTTCTTGATCCATTCATCCATCTGAGTTGATTCCATAGCTTGGCTTTGGTAAACAATGCTACGATGAACATGGTTATGCTGGTGGTTAGCTTGTTTCTGGAAGGTTAAGGTTGGGGGTGGTCACAGAAAAGGTAGAATAGAACAAAGGGTGAAAAAACACAACAGTGGTACTCACTAGGCACTATGTGGAAAATGAACTGTACATCTTGTGGGTGGGATGGGAGGGGAAAACAGAGAGAGCGAGGGAAGAGGAGACAGACAATGGTTCAAAAAGAATTACCTGATTCATTACCTCATTATCTGATTCATGTAAATGTAACCCCTCTATATATCAACTCTACAATAACAATAAAAATAACAATACTTTTTTTTCAAAAAACAAAGAGCTTTCCAGAGGATTCTCCCAAGTCCTGTTACTTCATGAATGAGAAAACTGAGATCTAGACAAAGGAAGGGTTTGTCTGAGGTTGAGTGACAGGTGGAGGAAAGGTATTACCAGGCTTCCCCAGGGGCTTTATACTCTGTCTTGGCTCTCTGTTTGCCTTCTGAAACACTTGCCCATTACTGCACTCTGGACTAAGCGACCATACTTGAATGATAACAGGGGTTTGTTTGGAACCAGGGCAGGGTTATTTTGCTTGCAATCATTCCTGGGGCAATCCCAGCTGCTAAGGTATGCCTTTTCAGTGCTTTACTGATGAAACAGATCCTATGAGTCTTTCTCTGGAGGTCCCACATAGACCATATCAGCTCTTGGTTTCCTGAGAAGCAAACAGGATCACGGATGAATGACCTTGAGTTAACAAAGTCATTTCTCCGTATTGTAAGACTCTTAGTGAATGTATCCATAAGTGCCTATTACCCTTTAACTATTGAGTCTACAGTCAGAGATGGTATATGTCATTACTTCAGTTCCCCTAAAAGATTAAAAGTCCTACCGTACTTTAAATTTATTTGATCAGGTCAGCCTTTTGGCTTAAAATTTAACATAGTTATATCTATTAACTGGAGTCTTGAAAATTAGTTGATTGAATTAGCCTACAGCCTAAAACAATAATCAGAAAGTCTTAGTAGAAATCAGAGTTTCTGGGATGGGCATGGAGGAAGAAATACAGAAAATAAAGGATGTTCAGATATAATTTTGCTTATGGATTTCCTAATGCAATGCAAGTGGCAGTTATACTAAAATTATTTGTTGTTTAGTTGACATTCCAATTTAGCTCTTCATCATGTATTATCTTTGTCAGTCCTGTGGCTTGAACTCAGGACCTGGACACTGTCCCTGAGTTTCTCTTGTTCAAGGCTAGCACTTTACCATTTATTTGGGCCACAGCACCACTTCTATTTTTTTCTGTTTATGTGATACTGAGGAATTGAACCCAAGGCTTCATGCATGCTAGGCAAGCATTCTACCACTAAGCCACATTCCCAGCCCTAGTCATGTATTTTATATCTGTTAAATCTAGCAACTTTAGCACAGACTTATCTGTTTTGGTAGGAGGGAAGTTTAATTGGGCAAGATCCTATAAGACACGGGTGCATAGGGGGCAAATACATATGATCTAGCAATCTTATTACTGGATATGTAGCCAAAGGCAATGAAATTGTTGCATTGAAGAGATACCTGTATCCATGTTTATTGTGGCAGTATTTGCAAAGCCAAGTTATGAAATCAAGAGTCCATGGGTAGAAGAATGGCTTTTTAAAAAATGGGAATATATGCACAACCAAATATTATTCAGACATAAAAAGTATAAAATACTGTCATTTATGGCAACACAGCTGCAACTGAAGGATATTATGTTAAGTAGAGCAATCCAAACACAGAAAGGCAAATACTACATGCACTTTTTCATTTGTGGAAGCTTAAAAAGTTGATCTCATGAAAATGCAGAGTGGAGCAATGGTCAGTAGAGACAGGAAAGGGCAAAAGGGAAGGAAACTAGAAGAAAAGGGGATAATGAGACCAAATTACAGTTGGAGGAAAAGTGGCTCTAATATAGTAGGTTAACTACTGTCTGAAATCAATTCTGCATTTCAAATAACAACCAAGGAAGAGTTTACAAGATTGTAACACATAGATATAATAATATTAAAAGTGATGGAAATGCTGTTTGCCCTGATTTCATCATTAGTCCTTATATAAATATACCAAATTATAAGGCTGTACTACATAAAGATTCTATTGGTTAATATAAAAATAAATATTAATTTGAAAAGGTGTTATTCACCATGATAAAGTAGGACTTTTGCCCTGGATACAAAGGTGGTTCATATTAAGCACAACAATAAGTATTACAGACAATATTAACAGAATTAGCTGGGCGCCAGTGACTCACCCCTGTAATACTAGCTACTCAGGAGGCTGAGATCTGAGGATCGGGGCTCAAAGCCAGCCCGGGCAGAAAAGTCCATGAGACTCTTATCTCCAATAAGCCACCAGAAAACTGGAAATGGTTCTGTGGCTCAAGTGGTAAAGTGTTCGCCTTGAGCTGAAGAGCTGAGAGACAGCACCCAAGCCCAGAGTTCAAGCCCCATGACCGATCCCCACCCCTCCCCCCAAAAAACTAACAGAATTATGGACAAAAAAGCCCATAAGATCATCTCAACAGATGGAGAGAAGGCATTTTACAAAATTCAATATCTTTCCATGATTAAAAAAAATCTCTGCATGGAGGACTGAGACAGTCATGTCCGACTGAACTACTTTTGGCATTAATACTTTTTATACTTTGTTCCTTGCTTGTATATGTTTTCCATAATACACATGTTAAATAAAGGTTTTTTTTAACTCAATGAATTAGATTTAGAAGGAATTACCTCAAGACAATTAAAGGTCTTATCTCAACTTATAGCTAACATTATACCCATAAGAGAAAAAAAATGTAAGCTTTCCCTCACTGATTAGTAAAAGAAAAAGATGCCCATTCTCATCCTTATTTTATGCCAGTTCAAGAGCTTGAACTCCGGGTCAGTTACTGTCCCTGAGCTTTTTTGCTCAAGGCTAGTTCTCTGCCACTTGAGACACAGCTCCATTTCTGGCTTTTTGGTCTCATTCATTTTCTTTTAGTTCATTTCAATAAATGTTATCTTATATGATCAGAGGCACATAGACATTGTGCCTTCATCTATTTTCTTAGCATGAAAGTCCTGTGTCAATTAGGCATAAATAAATAATTGAATAAATAAATGAGTTCTTTAAGAAAGAACGAAATAACCAGTTTGTTGATGTAATCCTTACATAGAAAGTCTTAAAGATTACTTCAAAAGCCTGTTAGAACTAATAGATGAATTCAGTAAAGTTACAGGATACAAAATCAACATAAATAAATCAGCTGCATTTCTACACCTTAAAAAATAATCTATAAAAGAAAATTTTAAAAACTAATTTAATTAGCGTTAAAATATATCCATCAGCAACTATAACCAAGGTAGTAAAAAAAATCTATACAATAAAAACTGTCAAACACTGATGAAAAGCATTGAAGAAGATTCAAGTAAATGGAAGGATATCCCATGTTCATGGATTGAAAGACTTCATATTGTTCAAATATCCATACTACCAGCAACCTACCATTTTCCCCAGCTTTTCCAAATGACAGTGGTTGCTCTTGGTAGCAAACCGAGGAGCATTTTGTGACTGAAAGGTCTAAATATGGCCAGGAAAGGGAAAGCCAGTGTCAACTTCCAGGTTCCGACCATGAAGAACTACAGGCAAGACCCTACTCTCACTCTAGTACCACCCACTTTGGCTCTCACGTAGGAAGCACCCAGCTTTCTACCCTGTTTCCACGGTTGAGAGCTTCTTGTTCATACCCCTCTTCATCCCAGGGACATGGTACATTTCACTGCATGGCCAGTTAACCAGGAATGTGCCTGTAGCCTGGGCAGAAGACCATGAGGAGAACAGCTAGCTCTATAGGTCTCTCTAATATACCTTGCCCTAAGCTCAAGTAGAGTAAGTAAACAAGCTTCCTCCAGAGCTCTGTGTTTCCAAATGACTTCTACTTTGCTGCGTACCCTCATATTGAAGCAAGGAAGTAGGTAAACGTCCAGTGTGAAGTACTCCACACACATTTCCATAACATGTTCCTCAATCACCTTAAATCTTCCAAAAATTTCCCCCTTTTAACCTTTCAGTGATTGAGAAAAGACTGTCAAGAACTCTCAACATGACCAGAGATGAATTAAAAAATTCTGTGTTCTGGGGCACCAAGGACTATCACTATAAGGAAACTGAGTCACGAGGGTATCAGAACAAAGATAGGGCAGAAAGTGAACTCAGACCAAGAGGCGTTATTCAGGAATGAAGCCTGGGAAGGGCAGCCAAGTCTTCTTCAGCATGGCTGAAGAGGAAAAGGAGCACCCCCCTTAGAACTAGGGATCTTTAAATATTAGGCAGAACAGTGAAGTGGAGGGGGGCAGATGGAAATGGGGTGAGATGGAGACAGGGTGGATGAGCAATGTTATTTTGACTGAGAAGTCTCAAGGTCTCAATAGCCTCTGTGTTCATCAGGGGCATTGGCATCTAATGGGGCCTTGGTCTCAGGTTCTCTCCCAAGACCACTGGTGGTACATTGTGCAAGGGGACGGGGAGGGAAGATGATTCTTCAGTGAGTTCAGCAGCAAAGACAGTTCTAAGCTACAGGTGTCAGGTGGCAGCAGCTGGTGGGGGTAAGCGGGGGCTTTAGGTTAAGACCTTTTTTCCATCAATCACATAAGATTTGTTGGTCTCAAATTTCCAGGGAGCTGTCAATAGTGACACTGCATTCATGCTCAGCTTTGAGTTTATCCAAGACCCAAGCATACTTGAAAGAAAGCGTTCCCATCTCAGTAGCTCCTCTAAGTTTTCAATGGTTTTTGTTATTGTTGTTGATGGTGATGATGATCTCACTACATCTGTAGACTGGACAGCCAGTAATGGTAGATTTGCTTGAATCTAATGTCCAATAACCAAAATGTTAGTATGAGCCTTTTCCTTTTCCATTTTTGGTTTCTGCTTAGTGGTGGTTTTCATCACAATTGTTCTGATGGCACACCTGGTATGCAAATGAACCCTTCAGATATCCTTTGATCTTTATTTAGCATGTGCTTTGATCTAGGAGATTCCAGAACTTATGTAACCAATACTAGCCATAGTTTTCCTTTAGGATTTTTGCATTTCTTGCTTAAGAAGTTCTTTCCAATGCTAAAAAGATGAAATTTTCCTCCTACCTTTTCCTTTTTTAGGGGCAAAAGGGGATATGATTGGTATTTGAACTCAGGACCTATCACTCAGGCCGTACCTCCAGCCCTTCCTATCTTTCTTCTAAGTTGTGTTATTTTTCACCTAACATAAAGAACAGAGAGTTCTGGAAATGGAGTAGATGTACTTGTCACTATTTTTCCCCCTTAGCAAAACCAGAACCTCCAGACTGTTGTGTTAGTTAATTTTCTGTAACGTGCAAACAAAATACTCCACTGGAGCAAACACCTCAAATGGTTTTCATAGTTTCTGTAGTCCTCGGCTCTGTTGATGCAGATCTCAGCCTCCTAAGTAGCTAGGATTATAGGCGTGTGTCACCAACACCAGGCACGTTTCTTTTTTAATCCAAAAATTTTAAATAATTTTATTGAGATTCATTACATAAATTTCAAAGTATTGTGGGATAGTGATACTTAGTTAAAGTCACAAACACATTTTAACCTTCACAATTGTCATTATCATGGTCTATAAAGTTTGTGAATTCTATGAGCTTTGACAACATAATTATTTTTTCTGCATTGGGTGATATGTACATCTCTTTCCGTTTGTTTAGTGTCAGCTGTTCCCTTTTCCCTCTCATTCCCTCCTTCCCATCGCTGCCCTTGAGTTGCTTAGTTCGTTTTCATCAATGTCCAGTGCAGCTGGTGGGTAATCCAAATGGTTTTTATTGCTATGAGGTCAGGTTGATTATCTGTTATTTCTGATTCCCACGTTTACTGAATCATTAAGAGTCATTGGTTTCATGAGAGTATTCCAGAACCAAATTTGGGCTTTGTTAATTTGTGTTTATTCCTACTTATTACTTTCAGTTCTAATCTTAATCTTTCTATTTTATTTAACATTATTTCTCTAATTTTTCAGATAAAAGGTAAAATCATTTATTGGGGGGGATTTATTCTCTTTAAAAGTACATATTAGTAAGGCTAGAGCTCTTACTCTAGTTTTAGATGTTATCCATTGTTTTTGTGAGTTTGGGTTGGTTAGTTGATTTTGAGATAGAGTCTTGCCATGTAACCCAGGTGGGCCTTGAGCTCACTTATATTGCCCACGTTAGCCTTGAACTCATGATTCTCCTGCTTCTACTTCCCCAGCAATGGAATTATGTGCATGTGCCCCTAAGCCTGCCTCATATCCACATGTTTTGTAAGTCCCAGTTTTATTTTTCACTTAAAAATATTTCCCTTGGGGCTGGGAAGGCGGCTCAGTGGTAGAACGCTTGCCTTGCATGCCTGAGGCCCTGGGTTCGATTCCTCAGCACCACATAAGCAAAAAGAAAAAAGCCGGAAGTGGCGCTGTGGCTCAAGTGGTAGAACGCTAGCCTTGAGCTGAAGAGCTGAGGGACAGCGCCCAGGCCCAGAGTTCAGGCCCCACGACCGGACCCAAAAAAAAAAATATTTCCCTTATAATTTCATGTTTGATCTGTGATTTCTTAGTGTTTTTTGGGGGGGGAGGTCCAGTCGTGGGGCCTGAACTCTGGGCCTGGGACCTGTCCCTCAGCTCTTCAGCTCAAGGCTAGCGCTCTACCACTTGAGCCACAGCGCCACTTCCGGCTTTTTTCTTTTTGCTTATGTGGTGCTGAGGAATCGAACCCAGGGCCTCAGGCATGCAAGGCAAACGCTCTACCACTGAGCCACCTTCCCAGCCCCATAGTGTTTTAATTTCTAATCACATAAAATTTTTTCTATTTTATTTCTAGCTTAATTATGCTGCAATTTAAATCTATTGACAACTGTTGATATACTTTTAAAATGTCCCATTTTAAAAGTATGTATACTTTACAGTACTTCTGAATACTTTCTACCCATGTTGATAAGTCACCATCTTGTGTTGTGAAATCTGCTCTATGATTGCTGATTTTTTTTGTCTTCTTATTCTGTGACTGAAATTGCTTAACTTTGATCAAACTTCTATGTCGGTTTACTTTGGACCAATCCTTCCAGTAAAAGCAAAATGAGACCCCTGGAGGATCTCAGCAAAATGCCTTTAAAGATCAATCTCCTGCCAGTTTCGAAGCTAACTCCAGGCTGTGAAGCAAGACAACCAGAAACAAAGGCTCTGGGTGTACCTTTTTGTACCCAGGGGGCAAATGAGAAGTCATTTCTACTCCAGTGCCCTAACCATTTATTCTCCAAGGCCATGTTAGCACTCTTTCTGCCCAGTGCTCCTCCATAATACTCTTCCCCACCCAAATCTGTATTTTAAACCTATCTCTGACCCCTGAGATACACATATTTCAGACAACTCAAACACTACTGTACATACATGGTTAGAGAAAAGGCTCTGTTTGTTCACTCAGTGTGCCGAGTGAATTTGGGGAAGTTCAACTACCAATCTGTGTCTATTCATTCTCTCCTTTGCTATTTTTAACAAAACCATATTCTAGCACTATAATGAATTATTTTGCTTAGCACATCAGCATGTACTACAATCTAGAGCTTAGACCCAAGTTCATGATCAATCTTATCAGTGGCTTCAATTATTGTTGTGTAGTGGGATAGGGTATCAGCCTTTCATTACATTCAGGTTGGCCTTTTCCTTCCTTCTTCTATGTCTAATTCCACCAGGGAAGAAGACATCATTTTCACCCTGAGGTATAGCAATTCCTTCTCATCTTTCAGGGTAGGACCAAGTATGTCTTGTTCCAGGAAAACCACTCTGATGTGCAGCCCATCTAACCATCCCCTCCTTCTTCATACATCAAGGTATTATCTGTATCCTTTGTCCCTTCTCCTCGTGCCCCTCCCTGGCTTCCATTTGTTTGGATCATATGAATTAACTCTTCCTTGGTCTCTGTACCAGCAAGATAAACAGTGATAAACTCTCGTGTGTGAAGTAGCTTTTGCCCATAATCTGGGTGTTTTATAGCCCTCTGAAGGGTGTTTGTTCTTCCCACAATACTTACATAGAAAAGACTTTGCTAAATCCCAAATAACTGAATAAAGACAGTAATACATTAGTCATTGCTGAGCAAAGGACATGGTGAAAGAGGCCATGCCATCTCCTTCCATGATAGACCATGGGTGCCATTAGCTTTATGCAAGATTTTATTTCCAGACATTAGTTACAATAAGAAGTAGCTCGTGGGGGACCTACTTGGATGACAAGTTTGTTGTTATATGAGAAAAACTAAATCCAGATATGAGGAAACACAAAGAGATCATAGCTTCTATCACCAAAAGAACATACCATATCATATATAGGACATTAATTAAGTCCTTGGTTTTAAAAAAGACCAAACCTCTGAAAGCTAGGAAGGTAGAGAGATCCAAACTAGGAGGAAGGGAGGCTGAAAACAAATAGTTGGGGCAGCAAGTAGTTCTGGGACCAAGAAACAAGAAATGGAAACCCTTGATTACTCTACATATTTGGCAAGGACCTAAGACTATGACTGTGATAGCTAAAAGGAGACAGAGGAAAGAGAGACATTGTCCTGGGTACATGTCTCCAACTCCCAACTCCCACCTAGGGCAAAAAGATGTTTCCACAGGAAGTCATGTAGTGGTCTTCCCAAACATTCCATGGGTCCTCCAGCTGTCATTGCAGGGTTAAGGTCCAGCGCTGAGCATGATGTTGCTGATTTTATGTTATTTGTCTTTCTCTGGAAAAAGAAAAGGGATAGGGATTTAGTCACAGAGAGGGCTTTTAAACCAGGCTCCCTACATTTGGGGGATAATTTCTGTGGCTTAAAGATGACCACACAATGCAGCGGCATGAGCTCATCATCCCAGCTGCTCAAGAGGATGAGATCAGGAGGCTGAAAAGGAACTGACAGTGGTGACCAGCCAACTGGACAAAAAAGTTCTCACAGCCCCATCTCTACAGGAAAAAACCAGGTGTAGCATCTAGCTGTCATGCTAGCTAGACCAGGAAGTGTAAATAGAATGGTGTTCCAGGCCAATCCAAGCGAAGAACAAGACCCTATGAAAGACAGCAAGGAAGGAAAGAAGGAAGGAAGGAAGGAAGGAAGGAAGGAAGGAAGGAAGGAAGGAAGGAAGGAAGGAAGGAAGGAAGGAAGGAGTAAAAGGGACTGGTAGAAGTGGTAGAGCTCCTCTCTAGCAAGTACAAACCCTGAGTTTAAACTTTAGCACCTCCAGAGAGAGAGAGAGAGAGAGAAAGTTCTGTGAATACATCCAAGAAGCACAGGTGGGAGGGGATGTCAGGCCTCCTAAAGTTTGATTGACTTGGGTGGGGGTGGGGGTGGGGGTGGAGAGTGAAGACTCTGGCTAGGCCACAGTCTTGCCATGCTGGATGAAGAGGGGAAAGTTGCTTTTCAGATCCTACCGAATTCTTTGCGGGGCATACAGACACTTCCACAGTAGGAATGGCAGCAATGATGCTCGCCAGCACAGTGCTCATGCTTCATGCAGTTGGGCTTGCATTGATCCTGTGTGGGTCTCTTCCTGCAGGGCTCCAGTATGGGCCCACTGATAACTGGAACAGAAGGTGTACACACAGCAGCCCTCAAAAGACCATTTCTGTTATCAGCTCCTCCCTTGCCCACATCCCACTCCACATAGCTCCCTCCTTCCTCTCCCAGCCCAAGGACCTAGTGGTCTCTTTGGTTCTTGAGAGTAAAGATCCACTCCCCGTAACTCTGATAATAAAATCACCTCACTTTAAATCCCCAGAACTTAAATCCAATTCCCAGAACCAAGAGTCCTGAGAGATCTCATCCCTCACCCTTATTTTACAAGGAAAATACCCGGATAATTCTCACCGAGTAGCTTGAGCTCACATCCCTCCATGCAAGCTGTCAGCTGACTAGCCTTCTGACAGTGGCCCAAGCATACATAAATAAAAGCATTGTTCTGCTCATAACATCCAGAGGTGCTCAAAAGTTGAGATCTAACCATTTCGTTTCTCCTGCACATCCTAACCTTACAAAGGACCCAATAAAGGTTTTTGCATCATTTGTTTTTGTTATTGTTGTCTTATAGCTAGCCTCTGGCTCCACTTTACAATCAAACTACCCACCCCCCAAAAAAAGTCCTTTTAGTTTCTATTCATGATTCATTTGAAAGCCCAGGCAAAATACCTACGGTACTCAGGGATATCAAGGTCGAAAAAAGTTTTCCCTTTCCAACTTCCGCCCACAGGGACAATCAAGAAGCAGAGGAATAACAGCCATTGCAGAACCAACCACTTCATGATTTTGATTCTGGACAGCTGAGTTGTAAAGGCAGCAGGAGACCCAGGACTTTACCAGTCCCCTGATAAGGGTAGAAAGAGAGTCTGGGTGGAGAGCTGGGAGCTCCCGACTGGCTGGCCACTGCTTTATCTGGTTTTGCACCGTCTCCTTCTCAGTCTGCCACACTCGGACGGGACATTGTCTTCTCATGAAATGCTTTCCCTCGCTTGCATTTCACGCTCCTCTCCTTAGAGGAATGCAGGTTTGCTCCCACCATCGCCTAGGAGTTTGAAAAGCCAGGAAAGTACAAAGTGATAAAGTGTAAGTTATTCATTACCCAGCGATAACAACTGTTGATACTTTTGTGGATGGGATTTCAATCTTTCTACTCTATCAGTATATTGATTTTCTACATTTATATCTACTATTACCCTGGGCAATCTACATTTGTATATATGTATGTTTTTCAATATTGGTATCCAATTGCACATACTGTTTAAGCAAATATTTTGGATATCATGTATTTTCTATAATTTTGGGGCAAGTACCACATATTGTCCTTGACCATACCACTAATCCTGAGTGAGGTCTCACAAAGTTAACATACTCATGTAAGCATCACTGAGATTAAGACAGAGAAGACCAGTACTTGATGCATACTCAGTGATAAAGAACTTGTCTTGTACACACAAGGTCCTAGGTTAGATCCCCAGCACTGCAATGGATGAAATAAAGTTGAATACAGACTCAGTATGGCTAGTGCAACCTAACTAGCTTAGTGCTGAATTCATGAAAAGAACTGCATACTATTCTTCTATTATCCCAACAGACAGAAATCAGTAGTCTAAATTTTATTTCCACAAACTAGATCTGCCTGTTTCAAACTGTCTTAAGAGGAAGAATGAATGTAGTATATATTATTTTGCATCTGGCTTCTTTTCTCCTTGTGTTTGAAGATTTTGTCTATATTGTGAATTTTGTCTATTACTGCATAATATTTCACTGGTTTGGTACAATATACTTTGTTCATTCTGCTTTTGGTAGATATTTAGGTTATTCCAAAGTAGAATGTTAAAAAAAAAAAACATTTCAATGGGACTGGGAAGGTGGCTCAGTGGTAGAGCGCTTGCCTTGCATGCCTGAGGCCCTGGGTTCGATTCCTTAGCACCACATAAGCAGAAAAAGCCAGAAGTGGCACTATGGTTCAAGCGGTAGAGTACTAACCTTAACTAGCCTTGAGCTGAAGAGCTGAGGGACAGCACCCAGGCCCAGAGTTCAGGCCCACGGCCAACTAAAACAAAACAAAACAAAAAAACCCAAAAAACAAAAAACATATTTCTATGAGTATATTGTTTGTGCCGGTCCTACGGATTGAACTCAGAGCCAGTGTACTATCGCTGAGCTGTTTTGTTGAAGATTAGTGCTCTACCACTTGAGCCACAGCTCTACTTTTAGCTCTTTATTTCTGGTCCTGGGGCTTGAACTCAGGGCCAGGGCACTGTCCCTGAGCCTCTTTCTGTTCAAGGCTAGCACTCCACCACAGCCACTTCTGGCTTTTTTGAGTAGTTTATCAGAGATAAGAGCCTCATGGGGACTTTTCTTTCCCAAGCAGACATTGAACCGTGATCCTCAGGTCTCAGCCTCCTGAGTAGTTAGGATTACAGGCATGAGCCACCAGTGCCCAACTCTGAATATTTTCACATAAGACATTGAGCATGTATGTACAGTCAGCTCTCTGTGAGCTATATAGCTATGGTTTCAACCAATCATGAGTCAAAAACACATATTTCCAGTTCTTTTCAGACTCAATGTTACTGGCTGAAGTCACACGCCTCTAGTTATAGGTGGATCTCTTAGCTGGCAGAATTCATTCAGAATTCTCCTTTCTACCACCTGCTAAGATGTCCATACCTCTTGCAAGGGTGCACAATTAATTCCTATATTATTTAGCTTTATTCTTAACTTAAAGAGTTATGGGGTAAGCTACAAACCACCAGTATTCAAAGCTTAATCAACAAAATACTTAATTATTAACTAACCCCTACAAAGGGAGGGGAACGAAAAAAACAAAATGTTTAACTAGGGATACAGGTTGACCCATTGTAACAATGAGATGTGCAAGACACTATGTTGAATATGAATTTACAACTTCGGTGGGGGGGGAGGAGGGAGGAGGTAGTTGTGGAGGTAGGAGGGAAGGGATGATGGTGAAAAACAAAGGAGGAGGCAACAATGCTCGATAGGAAATTTGCTCATTACCTTGCTCATGTAACTGTAATCCTTCTGTACAGTATGTTTTGTAAAAACATACAAAAATGAATATAAAAAAAGAAAACTATAAAACTTTGGGGAAAAAACTGAAGAAGACACCAGAAAATGTAAAGACCTCCCATGCTAATAAATTCATAAAATTATTAAGAAAATGGTCATACTACCAAAAGCAATCTACCGATCCAATGCACTACCCAAAATCCCAATGTCTATCATCACAGAAATTAAAAAAAAAATCAAGCCAAAAGTTCATGTGGAAGGCTGGGATATAGCTCAGTGGCAAAGCACTTGCCTAGCAAGTGCAACGTCCTGGGTTCGATCCCCAGTACCAAAAAAAGAAAAGACCAAAAAAAAAAAAGTTCATATGGAACCATAAAAGACACCAGATAGAAAAGGGAATTCTGAGTAAAAGGGTATTATAATACTAGACCAAATAACCAAATTATACTACAGAGCCACAGTAACCTGATAGCTTCAAACTGGCACGAAAACAGACACAAAGACAATAAAACAGGAGGGGGCTGGGAAGGTGGCTCAGTGGTAGAGTGCTTGCCTTGCATGCCTGAGGCCCTGGGTTCGATTCCTCAGCACCACATAAGCAAAAAGAAAA